CTTCAATGTTCTTCTTCAAGGTGTTTTGATCTTCATTTACTCGGCTAGGAGATAGTGGAGTCAAGATGATTTTCCTTTCATTGTGAAAGAAGGAGTATTGGTTTGTGAAACCATCATGAATAGCACGCTTGTCAAATTGCCATGGCCTCCCCAAGAGTAAATGACTCGTATTCATATGTACCACGTCACATAGAATCTCTTCTTTGTAACTTCCAAGTGAGAATGGAACAAGTACTTGCTCAGTAACCTTCAATTCTTCATTGCCATGCAACCATTGCAATTCATATGGGCTGGAATGTTTAATCGTTGTAAGCCCCAATTTGTTCACCATGTATGTGCTTGCAATGTTTGTACAACTTCCTCCGTCAATAGCTACAAGACACACTTTACCATTTACATGGCAACGAGTGTGAAATGTGTTTGTTCTTTGTTGTTCGTTCTCCATTGTTTGGAAAGATGAAAGATCATAAGACATTGTTAGTAGAAAGAAAAAAAAATTAAAACCTTACCAGCACGCTCTCAAAGCCTCACAATCTTCACTCCAAAGAAAATTAAGAGATCACTCACTCAACACTCATGTTTACTCTCGGGAATATAATTTGGCTTTTTACAATTACCCTTCTGATCTCACTCTCTCAATTAGCCTTTTTCCACTCAATTTCTCTTGTTAAGTCCTTTGAAAAACTTACTCAAGATTAGAACAAGTTAATTCTTTCCTTGTGTGCGTCGGCTGCAAATAGGTTAGGGTAGAAAGAATAGAAGAAATGTAAAGGTAGAAGAAAGGATTTAAAGGTATTAAAAGATAAAAATGGTTGAAGACAAGGAAAATGAAATGATAGAAAAGGAAGAGGTGACTTACAATTCAAGAAACAACACTTACTGCAACCTTTCTCAAGAAACAATAAGGTTATCTTCTCTTAGTGTAGATAGGCCTCTTTGATGTACTTTGCAATGGTAGAGCACTTTCCTTGGCTTGCTTTATCTTTTTGAACTTCTCTTTTTCTTTTCTTTTCATTTCTTTTCTTCTTTTCTTCTTTTCTTCTTTTCTGATTTTTCTCTTCTTTTTGCACTCCAATTTGTTGAAGGAGTCTTTTTCTCTTTTGAATTTCTTTTTGCTTTGCACGCCAATGACACTTTTGTTGTCAATCCAACTATACTCTGATTACCGCTTGATGTAAGGCGAATCTACACGCTTTGATGGAAGAGAGTAGATAGCCTTATTGTGTCCCGATCTAGGATTGACAAGTACTGATGTCCTTGAATTATAAGTTTGGGCTGCAAATAAGATAAGAAATAAATATGTTTAGTAATGGAAGGATAAATGGAATAATAAGATAAGAAATGAATTTAAAAGAATGGTATAGAGATGGCTGCGAAAATTGATGGTCTTGATGGATGATGTTGATGATGTAATGGCAATGGTGGTGATATTGTATCTCAAACACGCCAAAGATGAAATAGTGCTAAGGAGCACAATCCCGGTCTTCACAAACTTGCTTGAGGGGTGGTGATAGTGTCTTCAACCCACTAGATATCAATCTAGGAAGTTTGGAATCAAGAAGGAAAGAATGACGCCACAAGTATATGAATTATACTTGCTTAATCGATAAAGTTCACAAAGAACTTTGAAGAGAAATAACTCACAAGAGTATGTTTTATATAAGAGATGAGATGATTACAAATGAAATGCGCTAGCCTATTTATAGTTTTTCAAAGGGTTTAGGCCGAATAGACACATGATGGTTCGGCCAAGGTTGAAACCCCTTTGAAAATATATGATTTTTGATGAAAATACATGATTTTAATGAAGATACATGCTCTTGGCCGAATGGTTATGTGTTGGTTTGGCCCTAAGGATGATTTGAATGCATTTGGAAGTTATTTGGGCGCCAAAATGGAGAGGAAGGAGTCTTTGGCCGAATAGGAAGCATCCCTTGGTGTTTTGGCGCCAATTTGATGTCACATGGAGTGCACATGCTTGAATGATGCACATGGCAGCCTACTTGAACGCACATGGGTCTTCTTGCAAGGCTTTGGTGAGGTTACAACCATAGGATGATGTCTTGAAGTCCATGGGCAGCCTAGAGATGAACTAGCTTCAAGGTAAGCTAGGTGAGTCTCTTGGTAGCTAACTAGGTGAGTTATAGCTTGATGAACTCAAGCTAGTTAGCTTTGGTCTTCTCATCTCCTCAGCTACTCTCCCAGCTACTTCCAGCTACCTTTAGTCCACTTTTCAACAATTTGGTCCAAAGCTCTCCTCCAACTAGGTTCAGCTACATGCTAGCTCCTCCAGCTAAGTTGAAGCTCCTTAAGTGATGAAATGAGCTGCCATAACGTTCAAAGAGCTAGTGTGAGCTGCTATGCTTATCCTTTTAGCTAACCAAGCCACCATAATATGCCTTGTGATATAGTCACGTCTACACCAGATCCGGAGGTCATGCCACACGGTCCCATTACTAGGTCAAGGGCCAAACAATTCAGGGAAGTGCTCTTAACTAAGTGTCTTGAAGCTTTTGATTCATTTGATAACTTAACACTCTCTAATGTTATGTTATATAATGTTTTAATAGCTAAAGTGATGTGAGTTCACCAACGCTACCTTCAAAGGATATGGAAGTAATGCCACAAGGACCAATAACTCGATCAAGAGCCAAACTATTCAGGGAAGCTCTTACAACTAAATGCATTAAAACTTTTGAATCATTTAAGAATGCATCCCCAAACTATAGATTATATAACATGTTTTATGTTGACATATAATATAATCTATGAACCACATATTTATATCTTATATTACTTAGCTTATAAATGCTTTCTTTTGTAGGTACATGTTCGGCCACATCATGGGAGCTGATTTAAAGCTAGAATTGAAGTCAATGAGCTAGGAAACCTTACATAGGATGACTTGGGAGATCATGAAGAACAAATGGTGAAAAGTTGTCAGCTGACCTTCGAGCTCATAGCTCACTTGAGCTGGACTTTTGAGCTAGCTAGAGACTTCATTTCAGCTGGAGAGTTGCACCATCATCTTCACCACGCAGAGCACTACAAATATGGTCTAGGTCAAATTTTGTGAATTCGTACCTTTTCGCGAAAAGTTGCCAATCCGAGAAGTGACCTTTCACAAGGAGCTGTCCTATGACTCATCTTCATGCAATTCATCTATGGCCAGCTCATCTTCAGCTCAAACTCATGGGAAGTAGTTCAAATAATGAAAGGTTGTTTCACACAAATGTGACCTTTCATAATTAGTTGCTGCCCCATTGATGCCAAGTCACCTAGACACATGTTTGATGCCAAGTCACGCCTAAGTTGCTGTTCATCTACACACCATGGAAGAGTCCACGCCTTAAGCATTCAACACCAACCATGTGAGTGCCACATGACCAGCCACCCATGTGTTTTGCATGTGAATGAATTAGGCGCCAAGATGAATAGGCTTCTCTCTATTCGGCCTAAACATCATCATGCTTCAAATTGGCGCCAAGATGAAGAGTTATGGGAACCATTCGGCCAAAGACATCTCCCCTCATCCAAGCATCATTTATTTTCATTTTAAGACATGTACTTTGCCGAAAAGGCATCTAGTTATTCAGCCAAGCCTTTACAAAACTATAAATAGGCTTTGGCATTCATTTGTAAACTCAACCCTTTGATAATTAAAATCCTTTTGTGAGATTATTCTCTCTTCAAGTTCTTTTTAGAACTATATCGATTAAGCAAGCCTTTTCTAAAGCTTGTGGCGTCATTCCCTCATTGATACTTCTGGTTCCTAGTTTAAATAACTAGAGGGTCAAAGTCCTTTCATACCATCCCTTATAGAACTTATAAGAAACGGGTCTTTGCTCCTTTATAGCATTGGTTCCTTCTTAGTTTTATAAGATACAATCTGACCATCACCATTATCATGCCTATATCATCACCATAATCCATCACCATATCACGCCAATAACATCATCCTTTCATTACCATTTCATCACCATTAAATCATCCTTCATTCATCAACAAGGCATACTTCATCACCACCATTGGAGGCCGAAGTCAACATCACTTGAAGGAGATTTATTCAACATTTCCGCAGCCCAACTTTGATAACTATTCTATCCATTTCAAATCTTTTCATTTCTATTTACTTTTCATTTCTTAATTATCATATTACTTAATCAATTCTTCTTCTTCTGTGCAGATTACTTTCAATCCAAGGTGTAGCATTTGGTGTCTCTCCTAGATCGGGAAACAACAAGGTTGCCAACTTCTCCATAATTGAAGAAGCCTGGTTAGCCTCACAGCAAGCGGTAATCAGAGCCTTGGTGGATTGACATTAAAAGTGCTACAACAAAAAGCAACAAAAAAAAAACAAAAGAGAAAAGAAAAGACTCCTACAACAAATTTGGAGTGCAAAAGAAAGAAAAGAAAAGAAGAAATTCAAAAGCAAAAGAAAAGTGAAGCAAGTTGCAAAGTACACTCAAAGAGAAGCACCATACAATCTGCCCAACATCAAACTTGAAGGAGGTATCCTTGTTGTTTCTTGTGAAGGAAGATAGTAAGTGTTGCAACTTGAGTTGTAAGTCATCTTCACTTATTTACTATTTCCTTTTTCTTTCATCTTTTCTTATTCCATTACCTTATCATCTTTCTTAACTTTTTCTAGCCTATCCTTTATCCTATACCTTAACCATTTCTAAACCGACGCACAAACTAAAGAAACTTGCTCAATCTTGAGTTAGTTCTTTAAAAGGACCCACAAGAGAGAATTGAGCGGTAAAAGGCAAACGAGAGGGTGAGATCAGAAGGGGGATCAGAAAAAGCCAAGGATCATATCCCCGAGTGCAAACACGAGAGTGAGTGGAGTGCAATCTGAAATTTTCTTTGGAGTGATCAAGAGAGGTTTTTGTGAGTGTGCTGGTAAGGTTGTAATTTAATCTTTTATTTTACTAACCATGTCACAAGAATTGTTTTATTTCCATTCAGATTTGAGACAAGTTTTTGTTATCAAAAAGGCTTTAAGCACTCAAATCATAGAAGATGACCAAAGAGAAAACATTTTTCATACTCGTTGTCATGTAAACAACAAAGTTTGTTTCATGATCATTGATGGAGGAAGTTGTACGAACGTTGCAAGCACTCTTATGGTGGAAAAACTTGGCCTAAAGACTTCTAAGCATCCAAATCCATATAAACTTCAATGGCTAAATGACGGTGGAGAAGTAAGAATCACAAAGCAAGTTGTCATTCCATTTTCAATTGGTAAATATCAAGATGAAGTTCTATGTGATGTTGTACCAATGGATGCTGGACATATACTTTTGGGAAGACCATGGCAATTTGATCGAAGAGCAATCCATGATGGGTTTACCAACAGATATACTATCCTTCATAATGATAAGAAATTCACTTTGACGCCACTATCTCCTAGTCAAGTGAATGAAGATCAGATTCATTTGAAGAAAAGCATGGATTCATTCAAAAACAATGAAAAAGAGATGACTAAAGCATTGAACATCTATGCTGGAAGAAAGGAGATTCGGAAACACTTGTTGTCACATAAGGCTTTCATTATACTAATGTACAAGGAAAGTCTACTTTTAACTAATCTCCAAGAAGGTTTGCCTTCTTCTATTGTTTCTCTTTTACAGGAATTTAAAGCCATGTTTCCAGAAGATATACCAAGAGGACTTCCACCCCTTCGAGGAATTGAACATCAAATCGATTTCATTCCCAGTGCAACTATCCCAAACAAACCAGCCTATAGAAGTAATCCGGAGGAAACAAAGGAACTTCAAAAACAGGTTGGTGAGTTAATGGAAAAGGGGTACATTCGAGAAAGCCTAAGTCCATGCGCTGTTCCCGTTTTGCTTGTGCCAAAGAAGGATGGTTCATGGAGAATGTGTGTAGATTGCAGAGCAGTTAATCAGATCACTATCAAATACCGACACCCAATTCCAAGGCTAGACGATATGCTGGATGAACTAAGTGGTGCCACCATCTTCTCTAAAATTGATCTTAAAAGTGGATATCATCAGATTAGGATGCGAGAAGGAGATGAATGGAAGACCGCTTTCAAAACAAAGCAAGGATTGTACGAATGGTTGGTTATGCCCTTTGGACTAACCAATGCACCTAGTACTTTCATGAGGTTGATGAACCATGTACTCCGGGCTTTTATTGGTAAGTTTTGTGTGGTCTATTTTGATGATATTTTGATTTATAGCCAAACTTTGGATGACCATGTGCAACATTTAAGGTCAGTACTTGAAACTCTCCAAAAAGAGAAACTTTATGCCAACCTTCAAAAATGTTCTTTTTGCACTAACAAGCTTGCCTTCTTAGGATTTATTGTAAGTTCACAGGGACTTGAAGTAGATCCGGAAAAGATTAAAGCAATTCAAGATTGGCCGAGACCTACATCAATAAGTCAAGTCAGAAGTTTCCATGGACTTGCAAGTTTTTACCGGAGATTTGTACCCAACTTTAGTTCTATTGCCTCTCCCTTAACTGGGGTAATTAAAAAGAATTCCACCTTTGAATGGGGCAAAGAACAAGAAGAAGCATTTATGGCCATTAAGGATTGTTTGACTAAAGCACCACTTCTGGTACTTCCTAATTTTGATAAAACTTTTGAAATAGAATGTGATGCTTCTGGAGTTGGTATAGGTGCCGTTTTGACTCAAGAAGGACGACCAGTTGCATACTTTAGTGAAAAGTTAAGTGGTGCTTCACTAAACTACCCCATTTATGACAAAGAGATGTATTCTCTTATAAGAGCTTTAGAAACATGGCAACACTATCTATGGCCCAAGGAGTTTGTCATCCATACTGATCATGAGGCATTGAAGCATATTAAAGGCCAACACAAACTCAACAAACGACATGCCAAGTGGGTAGAATTTCTTGAATCCTTTCCATACGTCATTCATTACAAGAAAGGAAAAGAGAATGTTGTTGCAGATGCCCTTTCACGAAGGTATGTTCTTCTTAACACTTTGGATTCTAAGTTACTTGGATTTTCTTTCCTTAAAGATTATTATGTTAATGACCATGATTTTGGAGAGAAATACAAGTCTTGTGAAAAAGGTGCAGTGGAGAAATTCTATAGACATGATGGTTATCTATTCAAGGAAGAAAGGCTGTGCATTCCACAAGGTTCCTTTCGAGAAGTATTGGTACGAGAAGCACATGAAGGAGGACTCATGGGGCATTTTGGAATTGGTAAGACATTGGCAATCTTGAAAGAACATCTCTACTGGCCTAAGATGAAAAGGGATGTTGAAAGGATTTGTCATAGATGCATCGTTTGCAAAAAGGCTAAGTCGAAGGTCATGCCTCATGGACTTTACATACCTCTTCCCATTCCTACAGTACCATGGGTTGATATTTCCATGGATTTTGTGATGGGTTTGCCAAAAACAAGAATGGGCGAGATTCTATATTTGTGGTGGTTGACAGGTTCTCCAAAATGGCCCATTTCATACCATGTCACAAAACCGACGATGCAACCCATGTGGCTAATCTATTCTTCAAAGAAGTTGTAAGATTGCACGGCATACCAAGAACAATTGTTTCTGATCGAGATGTCAAGTTCCTTAGCCATTTCTGGAGGACATTATGGAACAAACTTGGAACTAAATTGTTGTTTTCAACCACCTGTCACCCCCAAACTGATGGGCAAACGGAGGTAGTCAACAGAGTATTATCAACATTGTTGAGAGCCATCATCAAGAAAAACATCAAGACTTGGGAAGATTGCTTACCACATGTTGAATTCGCTTACAATCGGTCAGTTCATTCAGCCACAAAAACTTCACCATTTGAGGTAGTGTATGGATTCAATCCCTTAACTCCTTTAGATCTTCTCCCTCTACCCCAAGAACAAATGGTTAACAAGGATGGCAAGAACAAGGCTGAGTTCATCAAGAAATTACATGAACAAGTTCGGAACAATATTGAGAGAAGAACAAAACAGTATGAGCAACAAGCCAACAAGGGACGAAAACCACTCCATTTGGAAGTTGGAGATTGGGTATGGTTGCATTTGCGAAAAGAAAGGTTTCCTACTAAAAGGAAATCTAAGCTTTTACAAAGAGGAGACGGTCCTTTCCAAATCATTGAGAAAATTAATGACAATGCATACAAGTTGGATCTTCCCGGAGAATACAATGTAAGTGCCACCTTCAATATAGCAGATCTATCTCCAATCAAGGATGATGACAATTTGGGGACAAATCGCTTAAAAGAAGGGGGGGATGATGTGAGTTCACCAACGCTACCTTCAAAGGATATGGAAGTAATGCCACAAGGACCAATAACTCGATCAAGAGCCAAACTATTCAGGGAAGCTCTTACAACTAAATGCATTAAAACTTTTGAATCATTTAAGAATGCATCCCCAAACTATAGATTATATAACATGTTTTATGTTGACATATAATATAATCTATGAACCACATATTATATCTTATATTACTTAGCTTATAAATGCTTTCTTTTGTAGGTACATGTTCGGCCACATCATGGGAGCTGATTTAAAGCTAGAATTGAAGTCAATGAGCTAGGAAACCTTACATAGGATGACTTGGGAGATCATGAAGAACAAATGGTGAAAAGTTGTCAGCTGACCTTCGAGCTCATAGCTCACTTGAGCTGGACTTTTGAGCTAGCTAGAGACTTCATTTCAGCTGGAGAGTTGCACCATCATCTTCACCACGCAGAGCACTACAAATATGGTCTAGGTCAAATTTTGTGAATTCGTACCTTTTCGCGAAAAGTTGCCAATCCGAGAAGTGACCTTTCACAAGGAGCTGTCCAATGACTCATCTTCATGCAATTCATCTATGGCCAGCTCATCTTCAGCTCAAACTCATGGGAAGTAGTTCAAATAATAAAAGGTTGTTTCACACAAATGTGACCTTTCATAATTAGTTGCTGCCCCATTGATGCCAAGTCACCTAGACACATGTTTGATGCCAAGTCACGCCTAAGTTGCTGTTCATCTACACACCATGGAAGAGTCCACGCCTTAAGCATTCAACACCAACCATGTGAGTGCCACATGACCAGCCACCCATGTGTTTTGCATGTGAATGAATTAGGCGCCAAGATGAATAGGCTTCTCTCTATTCGGCCTAAACATCATCATGCTTCAAATTGGCGCCAAGATGAAGAGTTATGGGAACCATTCGGCCAAAGACATCTCCCCTCATCCAAGCATCATTTATTTTCATTTTAAGACATGTACTTTGCCGAAAAGGCATCTAGTTATTCGGCCAAGCCTTTACAAAACTATAAATAGGCTTTGGCATTCATTTGTAAACTCAACCCTTTGATAATTAAAATCCTTTTGTGAGATTATTCTCTCTTCAAGTTCTTTTTAGAACTATATCGATTAAGCAAGCCTTTTCTAAAGCTTGTGGCGTCATTCCCTCATTGATACTTCTGGTTCCTAGTTTAAATAACTAGAGGGTCAAAGTCCTTTCATACCATCCCTTATAGAACTTATAAGAAACGGGTCTTTGCTCCTTTATAGCATTGGTTCCTTCTTAGTTTTATAAGATACAATCTGACCATCACCATTATCACGCCTATATCATCATCATAATCCATCACCATATCACGCCAATAACATCATCCTTTCATTACCATTTCATCACCATTAAATCATCCTTCATTCATCAACAAGGCATACTTCATCACCACCATTGGAGGCCGAAGTCAACATCACTTGAAGGAGATTTATTCAACATTTCTGCAGCCCAACTTTGATAACTATTCTATCCATTTCAAATCTTTTCATTTCTATTTACTTTTCATTTCTTAATTATCATATTACTTAATCAATTCTTCTTCTTCTGTGCAGATTACTTTCAATCCAAGGTGTAGCATTTGGTGTCTCTCCTAGATCGGGAAACAACAAGGTTGCCAACTTCTCCATAATTGAAGAAGCCTGGTTAGCCTCACATCATAAAGAGTAACTTAGTATGAATTCATATTACACATTGTTATTTTAATATGTTAAGAATGTTAGGATAGTTTTATTATCATATTATGCATGATTATTATATATACATCAAGGCAGAGTACTTATAATGCATTTCATTAGTTTATTTGCATTCATGTTAACTCTTAGGCTTTATACATTATCTTACACATATTAGGAGATGATGTACTTAGCTCATGACCATCATACTTAGCTCACATTACCATAAACAAACATGGCAGCAAGGTATTTAGCTCGTTTTAGCTCAATATCATGAACTTACCTTGTTTCCTTGCACATATAGGTACAATGGAGTGTGATGCACGTTGAGGTAGCTTGGTGAATGATTTGGACGTCATGCATAGCTCACAAACAGCTCACAAAGTACAAGGCAGCTCATGGAATGCTAAGGGAAGCTCGGTTCAGCTGGATAAGCTTCAGGCTAGCTAAACTTAGCTAGTTGGACTATTTGAAGCTGAGTTGCTAAAAGTGATGACAAAGGTAGCTGAATGTAGCTGAACATGCTGTTATGGAGCTCAAAGGGACTCGGCTAGGAAGATCATTTATAAACAGCCCCATTCTTGCTAGCTAGCTCAACACTCAAGCTAGCTTAGAAGGAGACACATGCACGCCTAAGATGGAACCCATGATCAGCCATCATTCCATGCGCAAGGCTACACCACAAGCATCCTAGAGAGGCCATGTGCACGCCTTGTGATCAGACCACCATGTGATTGGCGTGTGACTTCATTTAGGCGCCAAGATGAAGAGTCCTCTTACCATTCGGCCAAGCACTCCTTACTCTCCAATTTGGCGCCAACTTGAAGGGGTACAAGCACTATTCGGCCAAAGGATATTTTCCTCCACTTAAACCGAACCATCCTCTCTATTTTTAATTAAATTATGTCATTTTATAGAGGCACAAGGGCTGGCCGAAACCTCTTGTAACCATTCGGCCAAATCCTTCCATTTCCTATAAATAGGAAAGAATATTTCATTTGTAAGCACACCTTTTATTCAATTAAAGTGAGATTATTCTCTTCTTAAGTCCTGGTGACTTTTTATCGACTTATCAAGTATTTTATACTTGTGGCGTCAACCCCTTCCTTTCATCTTGATACTTCTGGTTCCTAGTTCATATAACTAGTGGGTCAAAGTACTTAAAACCATCCCTTGAAGAAACAATATAAAGATTGGGTCTCTGCTCTATATAGCATTGGTTCTTCTTTGAGATTTCTTCAAGATACTATCCTCACAACCATCCTTTTATTTCATCACCATAACCATAGCCTTATCAACTATCTTCCGCTTCCATTACTCATTATTTAAATAGCCTACCAATTCACCCATACGTCTACCACCCTTAACCATTCTACTTTGAGCCATTCACTTTGCAGGTTGTTTTGCTTCCTTCCTAGATCCACAATCATTTGAAAAGGTACAAGTACCTTACATCAAGCGGTAATCAGAGCTTTGGTGGAAGAAGCAACGTGCAACAACAACAAAAAGAAAAATACAAAAAGAAGTGCAAAAGTGAAGTGCAAAGTCAAAAAAAAAACAGCAAAGAAAATTGAAGGACTCAAAAGTCAAAGCACTCAAAAAGAAGAAAAAGCAAAGAAAAGAAAGAAAAGTTGGAAGCACTCATCAACAATTCTCATCACCAAGCATTTTCAAGTAAGCCTTTAAAATTGATTGTGGTGATAGAAGGTTGTGAAGTGACTTGTGTAAGTAACCCTTTTCATTCTCTTCTTTCTAATTTCTAAGCCACCTTTTCAATTATATTTGCTTTCCATTCCTACTAACCATTTGCAGCCGACGCCAAACAAGTGAAATTACTTGATATAGTCTTGAGTAAAAGTTCATTAGAACTTGAGACAAGAGAATCGAGAGGAAAAAGGCTGGAGCGTGTGTGAGATCATAAGAGGACAAGTAAAAGCCATTAAAAGTCCTAGAGTGCAAACACGAGCGGATTGAGTGACATCAAGTTTTCTTGGAGTGACTCGTGAGGCTTTGTGAGAGTATACTCTGGTAAGGTCCTACACACATTTCAATTTGTCCTTATTTGCTAACATGTCTTTTCCATCCAACATTTTTGTAGTCAAAAGGACTTTGAACATTCAAAGTCAAGATGATGAACAAAGAGAAAACATATTCCATACCAAATGTCACGTGGGAGATAAAATTTGTGTGGTGATCATTGATGGAGGAAGTTGTACCAATGTAGCAAGTACTCACATGGTGGAAAAGTTGGGTCTCAAGACTTCCAAACATCCTCATCCTTACAAACTCCAATGGCTCAACGATGTGGGAGAAGCCAAGGTAACCAAGCAAGTGATTGTACCTTTCTCAATTGGAAGATACAATGATGAAGTCCTTTGTGACGTGGTGCCCATGAGTGCAAGTCACCTTATACTAGGACGTCCTTGGCAATATGATAAGAAAGCCACCTATGACGGATTCTCTAACAAGTACTCATTCCAACATCAGGGAAAGAAAATCATATTGGCACCTTTGTTACCAAGCCAAGTTCAGGAATGTCAAGTGACCCTCAAATCACGCATAGAAGAATGGGAGAAAGAAAAGAAGGCCAAAGAAATCCATACTCCAAAGATGAATATCTATGCCAGCAGAGGAGATATTCGGAAACATTTATCAACTAAGAAAGCTCTACTTATACTTATGTATAAGGAAAGTTTTCTCCTTACTAACCCTCCTAAAGGTTTGCCTTCTTCTATTTCTAATCTTTTGCAGGAATTTGAGGATATGTTTCCTGAGGAAATTCCCGATGGATTACCACCGATTAGAGGAATTGAACATCAAATTGATTTCATTCCTGGAGCCACCATTCCTAATAGACCAGCATATAGGAGTAATCCTGAAGAAACAAAGGAATTGCAAAAACAAGTCAAAGAACTCCTAAACAAAGGTTACATTCGAGAAAGCTTAAGTCCATGTGCTGTCCCCGTTTTGTTGGTACCAAAGAAAGATGGAACTTGGAGAATGTGCGTGGATTGTAGAGCAGTGAATCAAATCACTATCAAATATAGGCACCCTATACCTCGGTTGGATGATATGCTTGATGAACTTAGCGGGGCCAATATCTTCTCCAAAATTGATTTGAAAAGTGGCTACCACCATATAAGAATGAAGGAAGGTGATGAGTGGAAAACTGCGTTCAAAACCAAACAAGGTTTGTATGAATGGTTAGTCATGCCTTTTGGCTTGACTAATGCCCCTAGTACCTTTATGCGTTTAATGAATCATGTCCTTCGGCCTTATATTGGTAAGTTTTGTGTTGTTTACTTTGATGATATCTTGATATACAGTAAGTCATTGAAAGATCATGTTGAACACTTACGATCTATTCTTAGCACTTTGAGAGAAGAACATTTATATGCTAATCTCAAGAAGTGTGATTTTTGTACTAATCAAGTTACTTTCTTAGGCTTTATTGTAAGTTCACAGGGATTATCAGTGGATCCAGAGAAGATTAAGGCAATACAAGAATGGCCAAAACCGGTTAATGTCAGTCAAGTTCGAAGTTTTCATGGATTAGCCAGCTTTTACAGAAGGTTTGTACCAAACTTTAGTTCCATTGCTGCACCCTTAACAGGGATTATTAAGAAGAATTCAAACTTCTCTTGGGGCAATGAACAAGACAAATCTTTCAACGAACTCAAAGATTGTTTGACAAAGGCCCCATTACTAGTCTTGCCAAACTTTGAGAAAACATTTGAAGTTGAATGTGATGCTTCCGGAATTGGAATTGGTGCTGTTCTAAGTCAAGAAGGAAAACCCATTGCCTATTTTAGTGAAAAACTAAATGGTGCAACTCTGAACTATCCAACATATGACAAAGAGATGTATGCACTCATTCGAGCATTGGAAACTTGGCAGCACTATTTATTGCCAAAGGAATTCGTGATACACACTGACCATGAAGCATTAAAGCATATCAAAGGACAACACAAACTCAACAAGAGACATGCCAAATGGGTTGAATTTCTTGAGTCTTTTCCCTATGTCATCCACTATAAGAGAGGAAAGGATAATGTCGTGGCAGATGCTCTTTCACGCAGGTATGTCTTACTTAACACTTTGGATTCCAAACTTCTTGGTTTTTCATTCATTAAGGAACATTATGCTACTGATTTGGACTTTGGAGAAAGGTATAAGTTATGTGAAACAGGTGCTCATGATAAGTATTATCAGCATGATGGATATCTTTTCAAAGAAGGACGATTATGTATTCCACAAGGTTCCATAAGAGAAGTGTTAACCAAAGAAGCACATGAAGGAGGACTCATGGGACACTTTGGAGTTGAAAAGACTCTTAGCATTCTGAAAGAACACCTCTTTTGGCCAAAGATGAAAAGGTATGTAGAAAAGGTATGTGAAAGGTGTTTAGTATGTAAAAGGGCAAAATCAAGAGTCATGCCTCATGGATTATACATGCCTTTGCCAATACCAACCATGCCATGGATAGATATTTCAATGGACTTTGTTTTAGGTTTACTAAAAACAAAGAGTGGAAAGGATTCAATATTTGTGGTGGTTGATCGTTTCTCCAAAATGGCTCACTTTATACCATGTCACAAGACTGATGATGCTATTTTTGTTGCCAACTTATTCTTCCGAGAAGTGGTAAGGTTACATGGACTTCCTCGAACTATTGTGTCAGATAGAGATGTTAAGTTCCTAAGTCATTTTTGGAGGACTTTGTGGAGTAAAATAGGCACAAAACTGCTATTCTCTACTACATGTCATCCTCAAACGGATGGTCAAACTGAAGTAGTTAATAGAGTTTTATCAACGCTACTACGATCCATCATCAAGAAAAATATTAAGACATGGGAAGAATGCCTACCACACGTGGAATTTGCATACAACCGAACCATTCACTCGGCAACTAAACATTCTCCATTTGAGGTAGTGTATGGTTTCAATCCTTTAACTCCTTTGGACTTACTTCCTTTACCTTATGATCAGGTAGTGAACAAAGATGGAAAGAACAAAGCAGAATTTGTTAAAAGACTCCATCAACAAGTCAAGGAATATATTGAGAGAAGAACAAGACAATATGAACAACAAGCAAACAAAGGAAGGAAGAAGGTAACTTTTGACGTAGGAGATTGGGTTTGGGTACACTTTAGGAAGGAAAGATTCCCAAACCAAAGGAAGTCTAAACTATTACCCCGAGGAGATGGTCCATTTCAGATTAAAGAAAAGATCAACGACAATGCCTATAAAATTGAATTGCCCAGTGAGTTTGGTGGCGTCAGTGCTTCATTCAACATCACTGACTTATCTCCCTTTGAGGATGGACACGATTTGGGGACAAATCGCTTAAAAGAAGGGGGGATGATATAGTCACGTCTACACCAGATCCGGAGGTCATGCCACACGGTCCCATTACTAGGTCAAGGGCCAAACAATTCAGGGAAGTGCTCTTAACTAAGTGTCTTGAAGCTTTTGATTCATTTGATAACTTAACACTCTCTAATGTTATGTTATATAATGTTTTAATAGCTAAAGAGTAACTTAGTATGAATTCATATTACACATTGTTATTTTAATATGTTAAGAATGTTAGGATAGTTTTATTATCATATTATGCATGATTATTATATATACATCAAGGCAGCATACTTATAATGCATTTCATTAGTTTATTTGCATTCATGTTAACTCTTAGGCTTTATACTTACACATATTAGGAGATGATGTACTTAGCTCATGACCATCATACTTAGCTCACATTACCATAAACAAACATGGCAGCAAGGTATTTAGCTCGTTTTAGCTCAATATCATGAACTTACCTTGTTTCCTTGCACATATAGGTACAATGGAGTGTGATGCATGTTGAGGTAGCTTGGTGAATGATTTGGACGTCATGCATAGCTCACAAATAGCTCACAAAGTACAAGGCAGCTCATGGAATGCTAAGGGAAGCTCGGTTCAGCTGGATAAGCTTCAGGCTAGCTAAACTTAGCTAGTTGGACTATTTGAAGCTGAGTTGCTAAAAGTGATGACAAAGGTAGCTGAATGTAGCTGAACATACTGTTATGGAGCTCAAAGGGACTCGGCTAGGAAGATCATTTATAAACAGCCCCATTCTTGCTAGCTAGCTCAACACTCAAGCTAGCTTGGAAGGAGACACATGCACGCCTAAGATGGAACCCATGATCAGCCATCATTCCATGCGCAAGGCTACACCACAAGCATCCTAGAGAGGCCATGTGCACGCCTTGTAATCAGACCACCATGTGATTGGCGTGTGACTTCATTTAGGCGCCAAGATGAAGAGTCCTCTTACCATTCGGCCAAGCACTCCTTACTCTCCAATTTGGCGCCAACTTGAAGGGGTACAAGCACTATTCAGCCAAAGGATATTTTCCTCCACTTAAACCGAACCATCCTCTCTATTTTTAATTAAATTATGTCATTTTATAGAGGCACAAGGGCTGGCCGAAACCTCTTGTAACCATTCGGCCAAATCCTTCCATTTCCTATAAATAGGAAAGAATATTTCATTTGTAAGCACACCTTTTATTCAGTTAAAGTGAGATTATTCTCTTCTTAAGTCCTGGTGACTTTTTATCGACTTATCAAGTATTTTATACTTGTGGCGTCAACCCCTTCCTTTCATCTTGATACTTCTGGTTCCTAGTTCATATAACTAGTGGGTCAAAGTACTTAAAACCATCCCTTGAAGAAACAATATAAAGATTGGGTCTCTGCTCTATATAGCATTGGTTCTTCTTTGAGATTTCTTCAAGATACTATCCTCACAACCATCCTTTTATTTCATCACCATAACCATAGCCTTATCAACTATCTTCCGCTTCCATTACTCATTATTTAAATAGCCTACCAATTCACCCATACGTCTACCACCCTTAACCATTCTACTTTGAGCCATTCACTTTGCAGGTTGTTTTGCTTCCTTCCTAGATCCACAATCATTTGAAAAGGTACAAGTACCTTACATCAAGCGGTAATCAGAGCTTTGGTGGAAGAAGCAACGTGCAACAACAACAAAAAGAAAAATACAAAAAGAAGTGCAAAAGTGAAGTGCAAAGTCAAAAAAAAAACAGCAAAGAAAATTGAAGGACTCAAAAGTCAAAGCACTCAAAAAGAAGAAAAAGCAAAGAAAAGAAAGAAAAGTTGGAAGCACTCATCAACAATTCTCATCACCAAGCATTTTCAAGTAAGCCTTTAAAATTGATTGTGGTGATAGAAGGTTGTGAAGTGACTTGTGTAAGTAACCCTTTTCATTCTCTTCTTTCTAATTTCTAAGCCACCTTTTCAATTATATTTGCTTTCCATTCCTACTAACCATTTGCAGCCGACGCCAAACAAGTGAAATTACTTGATATAGTCTTGAGTAAAAGTTCATTAGAACTTGAGACAAGAGAATCGAGAGGAAAAAGGCTGGAGCGTGTGTGAGATCATAAGAGGACAAGTAAAAGCCATTAAAAGTCCTAGAGTGCAAACACGAGCGGATTGAGTGACATCAAGTTTTCTTGGAGTGACTCGTGAGGCTTTGTGAGAGTATACTCTGGTAAGGTCCTACACACATTTCAATTTGTCCTTATTTGCTAACATGTCTTTTCCATCCAACATTTTTGTAGTCAAAAGGACTTTGAACATTCAAAGTCAAGATGATGAACAAAGAGAAAACATATTCCATACCAAATGTCACGTGGGAGATAAAATTTGTGTGGTGATCATTGATGGAGGAAGTTGTACCAATGTAGCAAGTACTCACATGGTGGAAAAGTTGGGTCTCAAGACTTCCAAACATCCTCATCCTTACAAACTCCAATGGCTCAACGATGTGGGAGAAGCCAAGGTAACCAAGCAAGTGATTGTACCTTTCTCAATTGGAAGATACAATGATGAAGTCCTTTGTGACGTGGTGCCCATGAGTGCAAGTCACCTTATACTAGGACGTCCTTGGCAATATGATAAGAAAGCCACCTATGACGGATTCTCTAACAAGTACTCATTCCAACATCAGGGAAAGAAAATCATATTGGCACCTTTGTTACCAAGCCAAGTTCAGGAATGTCAAGTGACCCTCAAATCACGCATAGAAGAATGGGAGAAAGAAAAGAAGGCCAAAGAAATCCATACTCCAAAGATGAATATCTATGCCAGCAGAGGAGATATTCGGAAACATTTATCAACTAAGAAAGCTCTACTTATACTTATGTATAAGGAAAGTTTTCTCCTTACTAACCCTCCTAAAGGTTTGCCTTCTTCTATTTCTAATCTTTTGCAGGAATTTGAGGATATGTTTCCTGAGGAAATTCCCGATGGATTACCACCGATTAGAGGAATTGAACATCAAATTGATTTCATTCCTGGAGCCACCATTCCTAATAGACCAGCATATAGGAGTAATCCTGAAGAAACAAAGGAATTGCAAAAACAAGTCAAAGAACTCCTAAACAAAGGTTACATTCGAGAAAGCTTAAGTCCATGTGCTGTCCCCGTTTTGTTGGTACCAAAGAAAGATGGAACTTGGAGAATGTGCGTGGATTGTAGAGCAGTGAATCAAATCACTATCAAATATAGGCACCCTATACCTCGGTTGGATGATATGCTTGATGAACTTAGCGGGGCCAATATCTTCTCCAAAATTGATTTGAAAAGTGGCTACCACCAGATAAGAATGAAGGAAGGTGATGAGTGGAAAACTGCGTTCAAAACCAAACAAGGTTTGTATGAATGGTTAGTCATGCCTTTTGGCTTGACTAATGCCCCTAGTACCTTATGCGTTTAATGAATCATGTCCTTCGGCCTTATATTGGTAAGTTTTGTGTTGTTTACTTTGATGATATCTTGATATACAGTAAGTCATTGAAAGATCATGTTGAACACTTACGATCTATTCTTAGCACTTTGAGAGAAGAACATTTATATGCTAATCTCAAGAAGTGTGATTTTTGTACTAATCAAGTTACTTTCTTAGGCTTTATTGTAAGTTCACAGGGATTATCAGTGGATCCAGAGAAGATTAAGGCAATACAAGAATGGCCAAAACCGGTTAATGTCAGTCAAGTTCGAAGTTTTCATGGATTAGCCAGCTTTTACAGAAAGTTTGTACCAAACTTTAGTTCCATTGCTGCACCCTTAACAGGGATTATTAAGAAGAATTCAAACTTATCTTGGGGCAATGAACAAGACAAATCTTTCAACGAACTCAAAGATTGTTTGACAAAGGCCCCATTACTAGTCTTGCCAAACTTTGAGAAAACATTTGAAGTTGAATGTGATGCTTCCGGAATTGGAATTGGTGCTGTTCTAAGTCAAGAAGG